GAGAATTTTATTACTTGTAAAAGTCACTGTAAAAGTATTGATAAAAGTGCAATTATATTTATAAAGAAATTAACAAGATTTATAAGTTGAACTTAAGTTTCAAGATTTTGTTTTTTAAATTTTTTAATTTATTTAATTTGAGTCAAATTATTTCCAAGAACCAAATTAGCCTCTGAATAATATCTTGTGTGCAAAACCCATCCTTGAGGACACAAAAGAACTTCACATGGACAATGAAAAGTTAGTTGCCTCATAAGGGGTGTGACTGATGGTTTTACACATAGTCCCTGGAGGTTGAGAGGAACAGGCTTACATCCTCTTATTTCACAGAATCACTTTCTGGAATGATGAATAAAATGTATGACTAAAAATGAGAAAATCAAGGGGGATATCATGCGGAAAATTATTCCTTCAAAATGAGGGAAAACGAAAGGCATTAACATTTTAGTGTTTTTAAATTTTAATTCGAGGGGAACATATTTGGGATAAGGTGCCAATATGCTTCTAAATCAATTTTTTAAGCTATGGGATAGGAAGATCGTGTGTAAAGAATCTTGACTGGTGTTTCTTAAATTTTAATATGCATATAAATCACATGGGGATCTTGTTAAAAGACCAGTTCTACTATGTGATGGGATGGAGGTGGTAACTAATATTATGTTGGTAATCAATTTGCAATATATATCAAATCAACATGTACACCTTACATTTACATAACGTGATATTTCAATTATATCTCAAAGCTGGGGAAGTATTAAAAATAAAAAAAGCTAAAAAATGGCACAACCAAGTTGTGTTTATAATTAAAATTGCTTGTCTTATAAATGAATGCGATGAATATATATCGTAGTGTTTCAAAAAAAACAATTCTGATGTAATAAATCTGCAGTGCGGTCTGAGAGTCTGCATTCTAACAAGCTCCCAGGAGATGGTTCCATTATCAGTCCCATTGTTATAAGGCAGGGTGAGGTGAGGGGCACCCCAGGACCCCCAAACCTGCCTGATCTAAATAGGTTCTGCCATCAGCCACATCAAGATAAACATACTCTAGTGCATAGGACCATTAATGGAAAGGAACTTCAATACAATTAGTGTACAATAAAGAAAAAGGATAGATAATAATTTCCAAATCAAGCACCCAAGTTACCCATCACCCCCAGCCAAATTGGGTTGACACAAAGTTGGACTGCCAAGTCCCCAAAGCTTGCCGTAAGTCTAAGGCACCTTTCTGAAGGGGCCAGACAAGTCTGGAAGGAAAAGAGCCAAATCTAAATCAAGATAAAAGCTGCCAACGTTAACCTCCCCACAGGTCTCTCACCCACATCTCTGTCTCAAGTGTCTCCTTCCATGTCCCCAAATCCCTGTTACAAGTCCAAGGCAGAGAAACAAGTACAGCTTCTTCACATGACTGCTCCATGTGTCTCTTCCAGGTCTCCTTCCTTCTTCCAATCTTCTCTCTCAATCTTCTTCCAGTCCCTTCTCTATTTCTTCTGAATTCTGTTGTTTCCCCTTTCTACAAATACCAATTGGGATGTATCGTTTCCCATAGCACCATTAACTTTCTCCTTATATCTTAAGTGTTTTGTAATATGAATACCAGACTGACCATTCAAATGTTTTCCAGATCTTGGTGGCGCAAGGGGTTAAGATGCAAACTATGAAGCTAGCCGCACTGCAGCACGAGTTTGATCCTTGACCAGGGAGCTACCCACATGGCCCAGCAGACCTCTCCTGACTAACCCGCTGCTCCCCCAGCAGTGTATTTCGGTCAATCCACCTGTTCTGCTCCTCACTCTGTCTCAGGTGAATCCTCTCACCTCCTCCCCACCCCCCCCCCCCGCACCTCTGGCCTGTACCCCAGTTCCTGTATGCATAAATAAATCTTTTTTTTAAGATATATTTATTTATACATACAAGATCTGGATACAGGCCAGAGATGTGGGGAGGCGGGGCGCGAGAGGATTCACCAGAGACAGAACGTGGAACAGAACAGGCAGACTGACTGAAATACACTGCTGAGGGGAGCAGTGGGTGAGACAGGAGAGGTCTGCTTCACCATGTGGTTTCTCCCTGGCCAGCCAGGGATCAAACTTGTGCTGCAGAGGCTGTGGATTGCTTCATAGTGCGGTGCTTAACCCCTTGCACCACCAAGGAGGCCTGCGTAAATAAATCTTAAAAAAAAAAGAAAAAAACACCATCAAAAGTTTTCTAGATCTTCAGGATCTAAATCTGTATAAGCATGCATGTATATGCCTGCATTATTCTTTCTAAAAATTTTTAAGGATCTTCATTTGGCCTTTGCCAAATCTCCATGACCTTATTGAGACCTTATTTTGGGATCCCCTGCCTTAGTCCTGCTAACAAGCACTTTTGGTAGTGTTTCAACACCCTCATACCTCCATTACTGGGATCCAAATTATGGTCTGCCGAAGAGCCAGCTTCCTCCAAATGGAGACGACCAGCTTCTTCCCTAGCCTTTCATCAAACCAATCTTTTTTCATCCTGCATAAGCAATGTATTTAACAGAGACTATATGTGTGTCCAATTAGGTCAGTGGGAGACAAAAATAAAGGCAAACAATTCTATCATCTTTTGAGGGTTCTGCCTATAAAAGGGACAGAATTTTTTCCAACTCGTGAGATCTACAAGGGTGAAGGGACTATAAGACCAGTAATATCCAGCAGGCTGACCCCATTCATTCAATCCCCCCACTGGGAATTGACGAAAAGGGAACTGCTCTGCTGCAGAGCTGCTTCCTTGACCATACTGGGCACCTCCTCTGGCATGGGAAGGAGAAATCATTTCACATTACGGAGGGCCAGTGAAGCTGGCTGAGCCCTCACAGCCTCCTCAGGAGGGGCACTGGTCACATGGAAGGGATTTTGGCCTAGTGGGTTTAAGGCCACACGAGGAGGCAGTCCTTCTTTTCCTGTTTCCCTATTACTACTATCAGGTAAGGGGAATGGCCAAGTCACTGTTCTCTGGGTCATCAAATGGGCTTCCTATTTGTGTACCTGCTCTTGCACTTTTTCAACCTTTAAATGGGCTACTTCCTGTTCTGAATCTGATTTCTGGAGGCTACTTGTACCCTGTCCTCCAATTTCTGTATCTGCCCTTGCAGTTTTTCAAAAGAAATTTCAACATTTAAATCAACCTTCTCCAAATCTGATTTCTGGAGGGGATCTACCTTGTCCAAATCCAGTTTTTTGGAGGGCACCCTGTATCTGTTCTTGAGATTTTTATATCTGAGCCTGTAAATTTTTATTTGAAGGTTTACTCTCTTTTAGACCAAATAGTATGTATACTTATGTAACCAAGAGGACTATAAACATAAATCAAAGATGTGTGTACGGATTTCCACTATATGCCCATATAATCCTCAACAATAAAGACATTAATTTGTCAATACCAGGGCCTCCCTGATGGCGCAGGCAGTTGAGCAGAGCACTGTGAAGCTGTCCAAAGCCTCTGCAGTGCGGGTTCGATCCCTGCCAGCTGGGGAGAATCCCATTTGGTGCAGCAGACCTCTCCTGTCTCACCCACTGATCCCCTCAGAGTGTATTTTGTCAGTCTGCCTGTTCTGTTCCCCGCTCTGTCTCTGGTGAATCCTCTCACCCTCCCATGCATTTGGCCTGTACCCCAGTTCTTTTTTTTTTTTTTTTTAATAGAGGCATGTTTTATTTATTTATTTGTTTGTTAGTTTGCTTCGTTTATACATGCACTGGGTACAGTCAGAAGCGCAGGAGGGTGAGAGAATTCACCAGAGCCAGAGCCGGGAGCAGAGCAGGCAGAAGGACCGAAGTACACTGCTGAGGGGAGCAGCGGGCGGCAGGGGAGGTCTGCGCGCCATGTGGGATCCTCCTCCGGTGGCCGGGGAGCAGCCGGGGATCGAACCGGCGCCGCAGAGGCTGCGGGCAGCTTCGCAACCCAGCGCTCAACCGCTGCGCCACCGGGGAGGCCCATGTACCCCAGTTCTTGTATAAGTAAACCTTTTAAAAAAAATTGTCAATACCAGGCTTTACAAAATTTGTCAATTCAAAACTTATGATTGAAAAAGTAGGAGCCGGGGGTGTAAGGGAAGCAGAGCAACCCAAACTGATGGTTGAACCCATGACTAGTTTCAAAAAAAAAAAAAAATTTCCAGGGCCACCCTGGTGGCGTAGGGGTCAAGTTTCAGTACTATCATACTATCGTGGTACTGCCACTGCTGCCCAAGTTCGATCCCCCATCAAGGAGCTAACCCACGTGGTGCAGCAGGCTTCATCTATCTTGCCCACTGCTCCCCTCAGCAGCGTATTTTAGTAAATCTGCCTGTTCTGCTCCCCACTCTGTCTCTGGTGAATCTTCTCACCTCTTGTGCCTCTGGCCTACACCCCAGTTCTTGTATGCATAAATAAAACTTTAAAAAAAAATTCCAAATCAGGGCCTCCCCGGTGGTACAGCAGGTTGAGCACAGAGCTGTGAAGCTGTCTGCAGCCTCTGCAGCACGGATTTAATTCCTGGCCGGTCAGGGAGAGACCCACATGGCAGACCTCTCCTGTTTCACCCGCTGCTCCCCTCAGCAGTGCTTTCGGTCCGTCTGCCTGTTCTGTTCCCCGCTCTGTCTCTGGTGAATCATCTCACCCTCCCCTGCCTCTAGCCTGTACCCCAACTATTGTATAAATAAAAAATAAATAAAATAAATCTTTTTAAAAATTTTCCAAATCAATTCCTGCCAGGGGTCTTGCAATTGCTCTGCACCTTTAGGTGACGCAAGAAGATCCCTGGGCTGGTCAACCCCTGGTACCCCCAACTGGCTGGCTTGCCAACTGTTACAGGGCAATAAGGGGCACTAAAACTGGCAAAGGGAAGTGCCCAAATAGTTTACCGGTCACTGTCAGAGTTTTTCACCCAAGTGCACAATTGCAAGACCACTCTGGCTCAGGGAAAAATAATGGGATTTATTTAACAACCGGGGGAAACAAAGAGACACTGAGGCCACAAGTGGCCAATTATCTCACCCCAGATAAGTGTCCGGTGTTCAGATGTCCTAACCAAAATGGCATCCAAGATGGCATCTTCCCACCACTGAAGATCTGGAACACATATTCCAAACAAAGACCACGCTCCCAAAGTGGCATCTTCCCGCCATTGGGGGGCCTAGAGTGCGTAGCAGCCAGAGGTAGCAGGCAGGAATCCAAGGCTGACAGCAGGAGACACTCACCAGGGCCTGCGAAATGCACCTGAGACAACAGCAGAACGTATCAGACAAGCAACACTGGCAACAGCTGCTGCAGCCTAACAACCCAACAAATGGCCTGCATCCACACAGCTCAGCAAGGCACCCAACTTCGGCCTTTGCCTTCCTGGGCTGTAATGGCAGCAAAGCTGGGAACAGTTTCAGCCACCTGGCTACCTGCAAATCTTCTCAACTTTTCTCCTCTGAGATCAGCCACTGTTAGCTTCTCCACATCCTTCGGCAGCCAGCAACAGGGTTTTCAGTAGCCTGGGCCTCTCCTTGTTTTTCGGAAGCCCGAAACAGCAGCCTGGCAGAGGAGCCTGGTGGGGGCTGGAATGGCTGACTCTGGGACCTGCTTCTGCATCAGAGTCCCCACCCCCACGGATTCTTCATTGCCACGTGGCCCAATTTATCCACACCTGCGACCCCCTCCAGGGGGCGCCACCTGTAACATCCTTAGCTCCAGCCTTGCCCTTTAGAGCACCCCCCCACCCACCGCCTTGCACCAGGACAACACTTGAGGCAGCAAGAAATCAGAGGATCAGGCTCTATAATTCTGTTCGCTAAATAATGAAGATTATGCTTCACTTTCATAAGCAAATACTAAAAAAAAAACCTTTTGCCCTCATATGGTAGAAAGGAATGAGGAGGGTTAGCTGGTTACCTTCCTCATTCCCATAGATGCCAACACAGACTTCCATCTTCAGCAGCATGGTTATCTATCAGCAGGGAACCTCCAGTTCGTAAAAAACACAATATCCGTGAAGTGCAATAAAACAAAGCTCAGTAATGGTTTTTTTAAAAAGGTGTGATGGTACTCATGCCCCACCATTTAAATCCTTTTCTTGGAGGATCAGTAGGCTGGGCCGGCTCCCCAGGTGGTACTAATGGGCAATCAAGTCTAAATACAACTGATCCAGGTGGACCAATTGTTTAACAAATAAGGAATTTGAGAAAACCACACCCCTTCCAAGAGTCAGTCTCTGTGACAAAGACCTCAGGCCCCTGGATTCAGTCAACCTAAAAAGAAGCCACTATAATACTGGCTGACATTGAGGGGAGGAAAGTTTATCTTTCTGAAAAATAATCTATAATTTAAACCTTGTTAAATTATCAACTAACGGGGCCTCCCTGGTGGCACAAGGGATTAAGACGCAACCTATGAAGCTATCAGCAGCCACTGCAGCACGAGTTCAATCCCCGGTCAGGGAGCAACCCACATGGCACAGCAGACCTCTCCTGACTTGCCTGCTGCTCCCCTTAGGAGTGTATTTCAGTCAATCTGCCTGTTCTGTTCCCCACTCTGTCTCTGGTGAATCCTCTCACCCCCCACACCTCTGGTCTATATCCCAGTTGTTGTATGCATAAATAAATCTTTAAAAAAAGGGGGGGGGCAACTGCATACAAGATTGCACATACGTAATCCTGGACACAGGGTTATGACCATGTTTTATGCCACTTAGCATGGGAGAAACCCTGTGTAGGAGATTGGGAACCAGCTGCCGAGAAAGAAATTTGATGACATAATTTGAATTCCTGTATCCAGAATTCACTCCACCTCTGCCCTTCCCAGATAAGTGAGCTGATAAATTCCCTTTCTTACTTAGGCTAGTTTGAGTCAGTTTTTTGTCACTGCAATCAAAAGAGCCTGACTTAGAGATTCATCAAATGAAAAATCTAGACGAACATCTGATACTGTGGCTCACACTATGGTACCTAAAGCAGCAGCCTGGGCCTCATCTGGATACTTCTTACACATGCAAATCCTGGAATCCTATCCCAAACCTACTGAATCAGAAAGTCTGGAGGTGGAAGCCAGACATCAGTTTTAATAAACCCTCCAGATGATCTCGGTCCATACTAAAGTTTGAGAAACTGGGTTCTAATACATCCCTTTCCACGAGATGTGAAAGCAGAAGCTCAGAAAAGGGAGGTAACTTGCTGAAGGTCACAAGACTAGTTAGTGGTGGCCCCAGACCCTCTTAGTAATCCCAGGAGTATGAGGTTTGGGAAGGGGGGGCCACTTGGAGTTTTGAGGGAACTAACACATGGATTGGCAAATACAAGGGGGAAAAATATTTTGGGTCAAATAATACAGTATGGTTGGAAACACTTGCTGTGTGTTTCCACAGGAGTTTAGAGAATATTTTACTCATCTTGGCTCCCCAACTGAGCCAACTACAATGTGTTAAAGCTCCATGTCCAATGGCAGGAATCCAGGAGAGCCCTTTTTATGTGCCAGCAAAGAGGAATTTCTTAGAAAAGCTACAGGAATTATGCTGCTATCATATTTCACTTTGTGAAGTAAAGGAATAAAGAGGATGAAACAAAAAACAAGTGACTGGAGTTACTCTTGAGGGTCCCACCTCTCTAGTTGAGAAAAAGGGATTTTATTGTTGTTCCTGCCAGAGCAAAAGTGCCCCGCAGGGAAACTGGGCACCTAAGCTGGAGACTTGGAGAATAACTTGCGTTTTTGAACTTTTTTTTCAGGTGGAGGGAGAGAGTAGCAGTGTTCCAGAGTGTCCCTGGAAACTCTATTTAGTAGCCTGCTTTCCGATGATTTGCCCAGCCTGCCCCCGGGACGTGGTCCATCCAGAGGCAAATCTTAACGAAGAAAGGCCCTGGCACCAGAGTTTCCAAAGCCTTCTCTTCGTCTCTCCTTCTCCGACTCTTGAGTATATAGAAGGGCACAGTAAGGAGCAAAACAAAGGATCAAGGGAAGCTGCTGGCATTACCTATTTTAGTGAATACTGCTTTAGTAGTCATGTACACTTTTTCTTTGGTTCAGTGCCTGTCCAGCAAGGTCCATGCCATCCAGGAAGGTACCTGGTTAAAAACAAAATAAAACCAAAACCTAAAGGAACGACACCCCCTCTCATATAAATCCATGATTCACATAGTCATTTATTCAGCAATTATTTATTGAATACCAACTATGTGCCAGGCACAGGCTTAGGCACTGGGGATCCTTGCCCTTTGGAACTTACTTTCTGTCTTTTGGGGGAGAAAGACAATAAACAAAACAAGTAAGTAATTATATTCATTAATATGAGTTGGTTGGCAATTAGTGCTATGGAGAAAAAATTAAGTAGGGAAAGAGAGAGAGAGCTGAGGGTGGTAAAGGAGGGCGTTTGAAAGCATCTACAAATTGGAAAGGCCTACTTGGAATCCAGTGGTCTTGGTCATCAACCCTCAAGAAGGATATTTTGAAACTGGCAAAGACGCTGTGAAAAAGACTCCTCCACCTATTGATGGAGAAATAACTACTATGATACCTACTATGGTATAGTTGAGCGCTCATTAAATATTCTATCTTCTCAGCCTAAGTTTCCCAGCCTTCCCTGCAGTTAGTCCCAGTCATAGGACTACTACCGGGCAGTGACTTGTGAGCAGAAGTGACAGTATGCTTCTGGGCTAAGGCATCTAAAAGCTCAGGTGAGGGCCTCCCCTGGTGGCGCAGCGGTTGAGCGCTGGGCTACAAGGCTGCCTGCAGCCTCTGCAGCGCTGGTTCGATCCCCGGCCGCCGGCAAGAGGGTCCCACATGGTGCGCAGACCTCTCCTGCCGCCCGCTGCTCCCCTCAGCAGTGTATTTCGTCAGTCTGTCTGTTCTATTCCCCACTCTGGCTCTGGTGAATTCTCTCACCCTCCCGCGCTTCTGACTGTACCCAGTGTTTGTAAAAATAAATTAATTAAAAAATAAATAAACCCTTTAAAAAAATAATAAAAGCTCAGGTGCCTCCTCCATCCTTCTCTTCCTTGTCTCAGTCATCTTGGAGGCACATATTCCTGATGGCTTCCTGTTGAGATGAAGGAGGGTATCCTGTTCTTCTTCAGACTTCATGTGAGGATAAAACACAGCTTCATGAAGTTAAGCTACTGAATTTCAGAGTTGTAACTGCAGCCTAGCCAACTTTACAATTGGACAAATAGGGCCTCCCTAGTGGACTAGGGGTTAAGTCTCAGCGCTACCACTGAAACGGCCTGAGTTCAATCCGCAGCCAGGCAGGGAGCTAACCCACATGGCGTAGCAGGCCTCACATGTCTTGCCCGCTGCTCCCCTCAGCAGTGTCTTTCAGTAGATCCGCCTGCTCTGCTCCTCACTCTATTTCTGGTGAATCCTCTCACCCTCCCACCTCTGGCCTACACCCCAGTTCTTCTATGCAAAGTAAACAAAATCTTAAAAAAAATAAAATTACACAAATAAACGTAGAATAACCAGATAGAGGGGTGAACACTGTAGAAGAAAAAGGAAGTGGCAGAGTTTATATTCTAGTTGAATTTATCTGCTAGTTGAAGACTAAAACTGTGACTGCAATTCAACATTCAAGGCCATGAATCATCAGAGTTTAATGAATGATGTAGACAGTGAAGGTTTTGGAAATTCAGGGACTGGAAAGATATCTAAAGGTGCCTGACACTCTAGTACTGGCAAACAACTGTAGAATTCTTAGAGGAGAGGGAGGAGGCTTTGAAGAAGTGGAGTTTGAACTTACCTTTGAGAGAACTATAGGATTCAAAGAGGCAGAAAATGGGGAAGGAAATGCAGGGAAGTAAAGCCAATGCAAAGATAAAGCCATGGGAATGGAGAAGGCATGTTCTGGGTAGAGCTGAGGATTCACTCAGGTACTAGGTTGAGGACAGATTCCAAAGGGCTTTGAATGTCAAGCCAATGAGTATGGGCTGGACTCTGTTGTTGACAATGAGTGCTGTGAACTGTTCTAGAACACCAGCTGAACCATTTACAATTGGGATAAGGGAATCTGTTAGGAAAGTACTGTAGCATGTAGTTAGGGAACCAAGGGAAGGGGGTTGTAGTGCTTTTTCCTTTGAAGTCAGGTCTACGGACCAGCAGCATCAACACTGTTTGATAGAAATGCAGAATCTCAGGCCTACCCCAGACCTACTGAAACAGAATTCTAACCAAATCCCTGGGTGATTCAGGCACATTAAAGTTTGAGAAGCACTGGTTCAACGGACACCAGCTGATGGTCTATCCTCAAGCCA